CCGTCCGCTTTCTACCTGTAACACTGGCGTCCCTGTTCGGCCTCGCCGGGGGAGGGCAGGGCCCCGCTGCCCTGAGTCAGCTCTGGGGGCCCTGGGAATTGCTAGCGCAGGCATAGAGAGAAGCCATTGTCCCTCCCTAGCCACCTCTTCACGCCCGTTGTGGGAGAGCGGAGCCGGTTCTCCTGCCGCGGGGGCCGGGTGGTGGTAAAAGCGGGCGCAGGCGGTTGGCTTTCGGTCAAGTCGGAGGGGAGACGTGGCCCTGGAGTGTAGCAACCCACCCTGCTGCTGCTCGTATCCGACTTCTGCAAAAGCGAATGGCATTTCTGCACCCTCTCCCCCAGCAAGAAGGCTGCTGCCATCAGCCAGTGTTGCTTAATACAGGCAAAACCCGGGAATGTATGGGCAGCTTCAGCCCCAGGTGCCCAATGGCTGCCCTGCTCTTGCATCCTGCAGCAGCCCTGTAGCCTGCGATGATGCCCCTGCAGCAGAGAGAGAGGTGATAGGCGTGGTGAAGGTGTCAAACTGCCTTTTCTGTGGGGAAGAGCCCAGGGAAGGGGGGGGGGGAGGAAATAGGAAGCAGGCACAAAAACCCACCCCCAGCTGTTTGCACTTCTCCCTGGGCTGGGAATTTCTGGGTCCTTTAAGTTACAGAAGGGAGATTTCAGGGTGAAACACAGCCTCGACTTAGATCAGGTTGTTGGACTCCGGGGTCCCGGTCACAGCAACTGAGGATAAGAAAAGCCCCTCAGGCCTTTCCCAAGGGGACAAGAGGTTGGTGGGGTGGCCTTGTTGTTCGTGAAATGGCAGGGGACTTTCTTGCCTTTAAAGGTCTAAGTTTGTAAGTCTCTGAGGGCTACTAGAGGTCACAACTATATTATGTTGGGGCCAGGTACACCTCACAGGGCCTAAATTCCTATGACTCAGTTGTTTTAAGGGGAGGGGGGGATTAACATCTTTGTCCCTTTCTGTCACAGGAGCCCAGAAATTCTTCTGGTGGGTGTTTATGTAGCCAGCCCCACAGTCACCCTCAGCTGGCTTCCAAGGCAATTGGGAGGCTTTTTCTTCTGGAGAGACTGAGGCAGGGATGGAGCATGGACTAAGGAAACATCCTACCCTGATGCAGGAAGCTGCAGCTTGTTGTGCAAGGGGAGGATGCAGGTGGCCTTGGGTGTAGGAAGTCCTTGCCAGCTTGCTTTTTCTGTTGTTTTTCTTGTGCTCTTGTTCTTCTCATGGCCCCTGAATATCACGGGTTTGCCTCTGTGAGTGAGGGGACAGTGGAGGGAAGAACTCCTTCCGGGAGTATTAAAGCTGTTTTAAAGCTGGCTGTGTTACCACCTTAGGGCTACAGCTGAAGCATATCAGCTATACCTTATCAGATAGTCCTGGTAAAATCCCAACCAGCCAGCTGGTAGGACAGTTCCTTCCCAGCCTTGCTCTCTGGCTGCGTCTTGCCAAGTGGGTGAGCCCTGGTAATTTCCTCTGAACTGTGGGGAATGCCTTGGCACGCTCCCTTCCAGGGCTGCCTGGGGAGGCGGGAGAAGCTGGCAGCCTGAGCCCTCCCCAGCTCTCCTCCACTCAGCTGGTGCAGCTGGAGGGGGAAGCTCTGAACCGTTTGGTCTCAGAGGAAGGTCGCTCTGGTCACAGGCGTGAAACATGAGCTGCTAGGTAGGAGTTGCTTTTTCATTTCAGTGACCTTTTCTTTTTCCACCCAGGAGCTGTGCTAAAGTTTAACCTAAAAAGGTGAGGTGTGAGATGCTCCTTGCATTTGGAGTAAGAACATTGTCAAAACTGAATGGTTACAACAGTGTTCAAACGTTCTCTCCGCTCCTGGAAGTCCAAGTTCCTCAACCAGAGCAAATGCCCTTAACAGATGCAAACATAAATGTCTGGCATGTGCTTTTGAACTCCAGAGGGCTTTTCCTACTCCATCATCGCTGTCGTGGGATCTGAGTGCTGCCTGCCGGTGGGGAGTGGGCTGGGTGGCACAGGCATGCAGAGCGGAGCTCGCTGGGTGCCGGTTGCCCACAGCCTGCCTCTTTGTCTCTCCACAGATTTTGCCTTCCCCTCATGCTGGCTTCCCTCCCGACCATGGCTGCTGCTGAAGAGTTCCCCCCTGCCCTGCAGGACTCTTGGGGGGACTTCTGGCTCTTCCGTTTCTTTGTTAATGCTGCTGGCTACGCGAGTATTGTGGTGCCGGGATTCCTCCTCATCCAGTACTTCAAGAGAAGGAATTACCTGGAGACAGGTAAGGGCAGGAGCTTCTCTTCCACATCCTGCCTCCCTGTGAGCTCTCCGCACCCTATTCAGCACTGACAGGTCATTTCTCTGACCTGCTTTGTCAGACCGGGAGTGAGCCGCTCACAGAGCTGCATCCCAGAGTTGCCTAGGTGCTACCCTGAAACAAATTTCCCTGTGGCCCCTGCACCAGTGGATGCAGAGGCTAGCAAGGAGGGAGGCTTCACCTCTCAAGCTGGTGTGGCTTGTGGTGCCCAGGCTGTGGCTAATTCTGTTTCTATGTTCTCTTGCCCTCTTTAGGCCGAGGCATTTGCTTCCCTGTCATCAAATCATGTGTGTTCGGCTCTGAGGTGAAGTCTGTGCACCAGGAGGATGGCTCCCTGCCACCCCGAGTGGAGCCCACCGAGTCCTCTACAGCCCGACAGGTCTTCAAGCTGGCCTTCTGTGCTGCTGGTCTACAGGTAGGGGCCCTGTGCATGTCGCCATCCCGCTCTGGGAGCCAGA